AAGTAATTGCAGGGGTCACATAGTCACCACGGCCTAGAGTGTTGTCTTCCCTCCAAAATGACATCGCAGGCTGTCCGGCACAAAGAGAGAGGCTGATACCTAGAATTTTGTGACATTTCTGTATTCCAAAGTGTCCTGGGGCAAGCTTTAATTCATAGCCAGCTATGCAGATAAGTGTGATCTCAGGTACATCCCTTTGCAGGCACGTCTCTCCATTCCTCCGTTCTTCACACCAGGAAGCGCGCCAGCATTCCTGTGGGGCCTTGAGAGGAAGGTTCCCACCCCACGCTGAGGAGGCAGAGACCTGGGGCATGGCCTCTGGCTAAGGCACACATCCCACCCCACCCCCCACTGTGAGGAGGGGCTCCCCACCTTGCTGCAGCTCTCCTCTGTGCTCAGATGACCTGACACATTCTCTCTTCTCTGCACACGTTTCTGGCATGTTCTCAGCCTCACTGGACACTGAGTGGACATCGACCGCTGCATATTCTGCTACTTCTATTATTTCAGAACTAATTTCAGGATTACAAAATAATTCTGCCAATTACTGTGCAAAGTTCCACTAGCGAGATAAACGGGGCAGATGCCTCTCTAAGTCCGGCTGTGCAGCCCTGGAGCAGCTTCTGGGACACCTCAGTCTCCTGAGGACCTGTGAGCATGCCTCACCCCCCTCCCCCGAGGGTCCTGAGCGACCTTAGGAGATTCCATCTCTGAGCCCAGCGCCTCAAGGGTGAAACGCTATAGATCTATTTCCCAGGGTAGCTCTAGCCCCTGTGAGCCAGGCTCCAGACACCAGTCTCCAGAAATGATGCTCAGTGGTGTGGCCTTGGCCGGGTTTGTGAACAGGGAAGGATTCTATCACAGGGAGCCCTGTGGTTGGCCTAGAAACCTTGGAAGGGGGCCAGGTGTGTCCATGGTAAAGCAGTGGGCACCCAAGGGGGGGCTGACACTCTCCATAGTGCTTTGCATGACTTTAATTAGCTTCCTGCATCAACCTCAGGGACCCAGAGACCCAGGCTGGACATTAGCCAGTGGCCCAATTGCTGCCCAGAACCTTACCTAAGGGAGCCAGCTGAGCCAAGACTGGGTCGGTAGGGATAAAGAGGAGTTAGGGTGGGCCAGAGTGGAGTCCTGGGGCTTTGGCCCAACCCCCTCCCTTTGTAGGTCCCTCCCCATCACCGGCCGGTGATCTCATCCATTCCTGGGCTGTAAATATCACCCAAATGCTCACGACTCCCAAATGTGTCCTCCAGCCGGGCCCCTCTCCTGAGCTCAGCCTGCACAGCCCACGCGACACCCCCGCCCAGATGTCTCCTGGGCCTCAGCAAGCCGCTCCTCCTGGAACCCCCTCCTTGGGGACAGGCGCCCCTTGCCGGCTGCTTAGGGCAGAAGCCTGGGAGCCCTGCCCACCGCCTCCAACCATCCTGTCAAGTCCAACTTAAAACACATCCCCTGCCTTCTGGATCACCCTCCCCTCAGGTCTGGCCCCTTCCTGTGTGCAGACACCACAGTGTATACCACGGCCAGAAGAGCTGTCTCGGAAGATTAGACCCTGCCCACTCCCCCTTGAGACAGTCGAGGATGCATGCCCTCACAGATGCACACCTCTGACCATTGCCTCACACCCCGTCCCCTGCCTCACCCACAGCTTCCATACCACCGTCACTGACAGCCTGGCTAGACCATTGTCCTCACTCCACAATGTGTCCCAGATTCCTTCCTCTGGGGGAGGGGAGTGTACAGAACCTGCAGGGACAGCAGGGTCTGTAGAGGCAGGACCCAAGTGATGCATCTTAGGCTGTTGGCCTGGTTACAATATAGCATGTGGCTGGTTTCCAATGCCCACCTGTGGGCCAGCTGTTGGTAACAGAAACAAAAATAAATGGCTTCAGGCCAGATAGCGCCTGTCAGTGCGGAGTGAGCTCAGCATAGGTAGTGAACTGAGCTGGGACCCTCTGTCCTGTAAGCCACTGACAGTGCCAATATCTGCTGCAGGTGGCCAGCTCAGGGCCCTAAGGTTCTTTGCCAATGGGAGCTTTTTTGTCCTAGCTTACATTTCAGAAAGCATAGCCTTACCTCCCAGTTCTGCCCCTCCCCTGGACTCAGCAGGCTGGGTTGGTCTTCTCAAATAGGCAGGAGCTCCTTTGGGGTGGAGAAAGTCAATGAAGACCCCTGCCCACCAGGTGCAGGCCAGCAGCCTCCCAGGGTGCTGGGGAGTGCTGATGGTGGCTGACTTCTTCACAGGCTGTACATGGGCCGCTTCTGCCAGAGCTGTGATGGCAAGGAGGTGTTGGAGGATGTCGGCTAAGGGGGAGGGGCCAGCAGACCCTAGGCAAACAGTGATCTCACCTGAGAACCTGCTCCGGTTGCAGCATCCCCAGCCTCGGGGTAAGGAGTGATGCCCGGGCCTGGAGGTCAGGCCAGAGTGCACTGTGCAGAAGGACAAACTGCAGGTGTAAATGTGGGCAGCCTTTGTGGGTATGTGTGGTGGCACCAGCGGGCCCAGGCTCCCTGCTGAGGAAGGGCAAAGCCAGACAGGGTCTCAGCACCCCACCTTTGCCCCAAGTCCCTTTTCAGATGGTGAATGCTGAGCACATTTCCCCTACCTCAGCCTCCTCCCCGAGTTTCTGGATGCTTGGCCGCCCCCATGGCCATCTGGTTCCCCCAGTTCCCTCCCCCAGTCCCTGCATTTTTCTCTTCCCTTTCTCCCAGCTCTTGCCCTGTGGGGGAAGCAGACCCCCTTCCTGTTCCCTCCACCACTACTTCGACCCACAGTTTTCTGGCCAGTGCCTCCTTCCCTTTTGTCTCTGAGGCCTTTCCGGTCCAGGTCTCAGGGACATGCATCTCCTTGTCTGCGCTGTTTCTAAGCACACGCAGACACACGTGTGTCTGCGTGCCTCTGCTCTGCCATGTGTGTCTCTTATGTGCTCACGTGTATTTACAGGCACGTGGATCCTCACGGGCTGTGGGGTGATGTGAGGCCCCCAGGCATGAGGGCTGGGACCTGGGGCAGCGACATGAAGGTGCACAGAGCCCTCATGTGATCTCGAGCTCCCCTTTGGGGTCACTCCATTTCTGGTCATTCTCCAGCAATGGCAGTATGGTCTTTTCATGCTGCTCCCAGCCTCCTCCTGGGCTGGACAGTCCCAGAGTACATGTCCTCACAAAGATAGCTTGTTCAGAACCAGGGAGCAGCGAGCAGTAGTCAGCCCAGCCTCAGAGAAGTTAGCGGAGCCCAGGGATGTCAGCTATGGGACAAACTCACTGGGACAGCTGGAGGATGGCAAGAATCTCACTTCACTCCTGTAAGTGAGCCTCCCCGCCCCACTTCAGCCCAAACTGCCCCAGCAGTGAGGGTGGGCAGTTCTATCTCCTCTCAGGCCTTCTGTGCCAGTGTCTGAAGGAGATGCTATGCTGGGACCCACCCTCGTTTCTCACCGCCCACAGTACCGCAGCCCAAGAGGCCACAGCTTAAGAAAAAGCTCTTTATTCCACGTCATCCAATATTTTACACAAGTAAAATAAAATTCATATCTCTATATACCGCGATCCGGGTGGGAGGCGGCGTTCTGGAACAAACGCCACCCCCGGAACCCTGTAAACATGATGGGGTGGAGATGGGGGTGGGTTGGTGGGGAGGCATCTGTCAGGGAGGGCCTGGCCTGCCCCACGGAACCTGTCCCTGGCTCTGGCTGGCGGCATGGAGGGAGACCCCATATGTACACACACCTGATGGCCGGTGGCTGGTCAGCAGGGTCCAAGCACTGTCCAAAGTACCAATGCAAGGCCCAGAGGAGCAAGGCTGCAGGCCAGAGCAGGCAGGGCGCCTGAACCCTCTGCTTCCCCAGCTCCGCTGCTTCCACTTCCGGCCTGGCCCAGACGGCAGTGGCTGCGGGTGCGATTCTTTCGGGAACAACCTGGCCTCCTGCGAGGACCGGTGGTGGGCAGTCCCGGTAGCTCAGAACCCCCAGGCCGCAGAGCCGTCAGTGGGGGCTCTGCGGAGCTGGGCAAAGTCCCAAACGGAGAGTCATTGATGTGCCGTGGGCCAGAACCATTGCCTGGTGGAGTGTCACCAGGAGGTACCCGTCCCTTGAGGGCATTACCAGCAGAAGCTGGCCGCCCGGGTTCCAGCACTGAGGCTTTGTCTGCACCATCTGGCTGGCAGCACTTGGGGAGGCCCAGCAGCTCCTCGTCAGTGAGTTGGGTGGTCTGGAAGGGACGGAAGGGCCCTGAAGCCACAACACAGCCCTCTAGGTCATTGGCAGCCAAGCGCTTAAGATCACGACCGGCCAGGCGTGCGGGCAGGCTGCAGGGCACCTCTGATGAGGACCCTCGGAATTTCTGCAGCCAGGCCCAGAGCGGACGGGCTCGGCAGTCACACACCCAGGGGTTGTCATTGAGTCGCAGGTACTGCAGAGACCTCAGGGGCACTAGGACCTCTGCGGGTAACATGGAGAGGTTATTGGCAAACAGGTAGAGGGTCATGAGGCGGCCAAGGTCCTGGAAGGCGTGTGGATGCACACGAGTCACATGATTCTGGTGTAAGAGGAGGCGGTCAAGACTGTGCAGGCCACGGAAAGCGTGCTCAGGCACGCTGGGGATACGGTTTCCGTGCAGAAAGAGGTGTGTGAGGTTGCCCAGGTCACGGAAGGCATTGTCAGGCAGCGCCTGGAGACTGTTGTCTTGTAGGTAGAGATACTGCAGAGCCGTCAGTCCACGGAACAGGCCGGAACCCAGCTCCTGCAGGCCACATCGGTCTAGGTGCAGCGTGTGCAGGTGGCCCAGGCCGTGGAAGGTGGTGGGGTCCACAACGCGGAGCTGTGCATTGTCACTGAGGTCTAGCTGCTCCAGGAGGGTCAGGCCAGCGAAGGCAGTGGCATCAATGCGGGCCAGTGTGTTAGAGTGCAGCCACAGGATAGTGAGATTTCTGCATGAGTGGAAGCTGGCAGCCGGCACGTGAGAGATGCGGTTGCCGTGCAGGAAGATTCTCTGGCTGGAGGCTGGAATGCCTGTGGGCACAGCCTGCAGGCCCTGTTGGGGGCAACTTGTTGTCACCTTGGGCTCATTGTAGCACACACAAGCGCCAGGACATGGTGCTGCTACCCGCCAGGCTTGTAGCCATAACACCCATGCCAGCAGCCGGCTTCCTGTAGACAGAGGAAGAGGTGATCAGAGAGGGGCCCTAAGAAGTGGAGGTCTACGCTGAAAACAGTTCTTCTTGGGTAGACCTCAGGGAACTGGGCAGGGCCCAAAGGCTGCCAGCCCTGGGAATGGGGCTATAGAACCTCTCAGCCTTCCATGGCATTCAGACAATATTGGGCTGTAAGTTGTCCTCCTTGGAGGTACATATTCCACACTGGTGGCCATGTCTGCACCCCTAACCCTCTCACACAACTGCAGGCATGACTGGTGCACTGTAGCTCACCCCCATAGTGTTAGCCCAGCTGGTCATTAAGTCACATGTCTGAAGGCCTTCTGGGGTGGCTGCACATACCATCTCTGCACTCCAGAGCATACAGCCCCTGGAACCCGGCTGTTGTTTGTCTTCATTGGTCTTAGCTTTATCCTTGGTCTGCTCAAATCAGTCCCACCAGGCTACAGGCTAAAGAAGAAGGGGAATCTGAGAAACCCCGTAGGAGCAGTCTGAGACTCATCCCTAGGCTTGCCAGGTCCCTTGGCCCAGGAGCAGAGGAGGGGCTGAGGCTCACAATCTAGGCCTGCCCAGGCCATTATAGCTTTTGATAACTTCTGGCAGCTGGAATCACAGGGAATCTCCTCGTGCCAAAATGGGAGCTATGCTTGAGCCCCTGAAGGGCTCTGTCTGTAGGGGTCTCCTGAGGCCTGGGGTAGGTCTCCTCACTAGCACCCCTGCTGTCTGAGGAAGAGGAGCCTGGGTGTGGGGCAGGTGGGGAGAGAGGGCCTCTCCCAGGCCCCCAGGGCAGGCTGCTCCCTCCTCCACACCACCTCCCTTTTAAGCACTTCCTGACTTGGCTCTGAACACCTTCTGCAGCCTCCTCCACCGGCCTCATTCTCCGCTCCATCCCTTCCCAGCCTGCCTGCCCATCCCTGTTGGTTGCCACCCTACTTCTCTCAGTGGCCCCAAGGCATCAGGCCCCATCCTAGGTCCCTGGGCCAGATATACCTGGGTGTGACCAAGGACCTATATACTCGGCAGCGGCCGCTAGGGCTGGGGTGCTATATTCCTAGGAAAAGGCTCCTTGGATTGTCACCAGAGCCCCATCCCTCTTGAATGCCGAAGGCTCTTTCAGGAGTGAGTCTATTAAAAATGTGAATCCCCCTGGGAGGGTTATGGCTTATCAGCTAACACCGTCATTGACAGCTAACACCTGTGTTGACAGCTAACACCTTTCTTGGCAGCTAGCTAAGAGCAGGATTCTGCAGCCAGGAGGCCGAGGCTGGCAAACTGCTCGGAGTTGGGAAAAGACCAGGATCCAGCCTTCCCTACCCAGCCTTGACCTCTGGGGACATCTACTTCACACTGGGCCCTACCACTGGGTCCTCTTCTGCATGGTGCAGTCTTAACTCTAGACCCCCTCAGGCCAGGCATGCCTAACAGCCGGGCAAGCTTCCAGGCTCTGGGGCCCTCTTCTCAGCGATTTCATTCAGTGAGCCGGTTTGCTGGACCTGGAGTCATTTGTTGACAGCTATGGTGGCAAGCCAGGCCCAGGAGGCAATCCATGGATGCCTGTCCCTGCCCCGCCCCAGGCTGGACATATGTGGGCTGTACTTGGGTCTGAGGTTCTGTCTAAGCAGCTTCTCACATTCTCTTCTTACATGCCCTCCCCAGGACAGTGGGGTGCAGCTGCATCAGCAGCCCTGATGCCTTAACTGCTGTCACAAAAGCTGGGTAAGTGGGGGGCCTTCACGCACCCAGGGCCAGGCTGGAAATTTTACCGTCATGGATGACTGGGGGGCACGTTATCAGCCCTGGTATACCACAGACCACCTATTACCCACAGTGCCATGCTGCCAACTGGACCTCACATACACTGAAAACACCACCAATCTCTGTGTCATCCACCACACCAGCGGTAGACTGTAGCTCCCAGTAGTGAGGTGGCCCATTGACAGGTCCAGGGCTGAGGTCGGGAATGGGAGGCGCGGCTATATGCTCAGTCTTGTCAGGCAGAAGGTAAAAGACACAGCTGTGCTCCTGTTGGAAATCAACTTCTGAGAGGCGGCCCTTCTTACCCACCCTGTCAGCACAGGGGCTGGGGTAGCCTCTTCTGCCGTAGCCACAGTAATTGGCTCCAGCCTGGACCCCCTTGGGGCCTGCCCGCGGTCTCCATGGCAACCCCTGCGCTGAGCAAGCATAAGGGGCATCTTTTTATGAGATAATCAAACCCAACTTTGCAGCATGGCTTGTGTTCACAGCAGGGGTTTGGGGAAACACCGGACACCTGACCAGGCGGCGAGGATGTTCCCTGACCCCACCCCAGGGCTGCCATATTCAGTGTCTCTCCGTCTGCCACCTTACATGGCCTGCGTTGGCTCATTCTTGTGGCTTCCGCAGTGCTTTGAGCCACAAGATCTCTGAACTTCAGGCCTGGACCCCTCCGTGCTCACTTTGTTCCATTGCAAATGTGCCCACAGATTTTCATCTGAGACGGCCTTCCTTCTGGGGAGCAGCCTGGCCCTCTTGCCTCCCTGTAGCCTCCACCTGCCACCCAGCCAGGCTCTTCCATGTTCCCATCTCAGAAGGTGCCCAGCATGCACACATGGGCAGAAAGTGGTCCTGGGGAGGGGGCCCATCCATCTCACATGGAATCCACATCAAGACCCCTTAGGACTCTGCAGCCACTGAGTCAGCCTTACAAGCTATGCACGAAGTGGTGTGTCTCCAGCTATACTGAAGTCAGTTTTCATCCGACTTGTGTGTGGATCTCCTCCAGGGTTTTTCCAAGGGGAACACACTGGCTGTTGGAACTGGGTCACGGTTAGTGGCTTCTGGCTTAGTGGTTAGTGGTCATCTGGGGGGCCACAGGGATATGAGGGAAAGGGCACATGGCTCGGAGATTCCTCAGGGAGGGCAATAACTGAGTACAGACCCTGGGGTCCTCCTCCACTTGGGGCAGCCTGATCAGGCAGGACACAACCACTGGGCTACACCGGGCACTTGGCGTCTGTGCCAGGAGCTCTTTGGAGTCAAGAGTGCAGAATCACATTCACTGAAGAGGGAGTAGGGGAGAGAGATGGGAGAGATGGAAGGAAAGAGGAGCGGGGAGAAAGAGGAGGCAGAAAGAGGCAGGGGCAGAGAGAAAGAAGCCAGGGAACCAGACGGTGTGAAGAGGGAAAAATGGAAAGGGAGGGACCAGGTGGGTGGAGGCTTCTGGGGCCTTGCCCAGCAGCCACTTGAGCCAGCAGGCAGGCACTGCTGAGGTCAGCAGCTCACCTCAGCAGCCCAGTGAGCTGCTGAGCTGAGATTGCCTTCCTTAGCATCTTCCCAGCCTGCTGCATTCTTGCATTCTCTCCACCACCACCCTAGCCTAGCCTGACATCCCGTGGGCACGTCCTCTTGTCCTCACCTGATGAGGCCAAGCACAGTGCAGGCTGACGGCCTTGCATATCCAGGGCACCGACTTTCGTCCTTCTACCAGCCGGGTGCCCTTGGATCCCTGTGTCTCTCTCAAGGACTACCCCCCACAGACTTTGGAGAAAGCCTCCCCGCCGGTACCAGTCAGTGCCACGGAGAATCACATTCTCTTTCCATCACCAGCATCTATTTCCAGACGAGGAAACTGAGGCACTGAGTAGCAAAGCCCCGCTCCTACACTGCAGCAATTTAAAAGTAAGGGGAGGTAAGCATGGGGGTACATGCTACCTGAGGGTTGTCAAGGAAAGTATAGCCAGCTCATGAGGGACAACTGCTATGTGGCCAGGGCAGCCAGTGGGGGCTGGATAGTCCCTGGGGCACAGGAACCTCCCATGCTATCTGCGGCTGGGAAGACATCTCCATGGGTATACTGAGCTGGGGTCAGAAGGCTGTAGAGGGGCTGGCCTGCTGAGGCAGCCCAGAAGAGACCACAGTTACAAGGCAGAACAATTCAGCATACAAGACCAGAAATAGCTCTGGGAGAGGGTGGTGGGACCGATGCCATCCCCCACACTGCAGAAAGTCAAGGCACTTTTCCCTGGGCCCCCTCCCGACTCCTGCCAACCTATCACTACTGACCCCTACCCCATCCGTACCCTCATCTTCACTCACTTCTCACACACACACTGCCCATCTTCTGCCCATCCTTGGCAGAAGACACGTGCAGTGACAGCTTACATTTACACTGTCCCTCCTGGATCCTCCAGGAAGGAGTAGAGGCAGGAAGACGGCAGTGACTTCCACAGAGGACAGACCACCCTGAGTCCCTGAGGTGTGGCCACCAGCATCTGCGGCCCTGTCCTGGTCCCTTGAGGCCTTGTTCCTTATTGATTTTGACTATAGAGCAAACAGGCAGGCCAGGTCGATAATGGGTAAGGTCACTTACCAAGGTCGGCAGAGACAACATCGAAGCTGATATGCCTCAGGCCCAGCCACAAACCGTGGGGAAACTGAGGCCTCTAGAGCACAGCTGTTAGAAACGGCTTTTGGTTGAGTCAGGTCATCCTCTCGTCCTCAGCGACATCCGCCTGCCTCTGCCTTCCGAGTGCTGCAGTTAAAGGCGCAGACCACCATGCCCTGTTCTTTCATTTTTATTGAGACACAGGGACATGAAGGCCCATGCCCTCTTTTAACTTGTGATACTTTTATCTCAGTCTCCCAAGTAGCTGGGATTACAGGTGTGTGCTGTCAGTCTCTCCTAGGAATTCAGTTCTGGTCACAGTCCCATTACCTAAAGGGCTTCAGAGTCTCCCCAGGTCCAGCAATATATTCTACTTGTATACTTACCTCCCGGACCCCACCCTGTGAAGTCTGCTCTGTAGGCCTATGGTGCCCAGCACCTCAAGAGTTTGTCTGGCTGAAGCCTATCCCACCTGGGGACTCAGTTTCCCTTCCCTGACAAGAGGCTAGTGGCTCCCATCAGGTGGGAGCCCAATTACCTGGCTCCCACCCCCGGGCCTTTGCGGTCCTGCTGCTAATTTAATCCATCTTTCGGTCTAGGCTTCAGTCCCCAGGGACACTAATGAGGAAACCAACCAATGACTACATATCCCTATCATAGGTATCCTATGAAGGAGACCTCCTTAGGCCATAGTCTAAGCCCCAGAACTGTCACACAAATGCCACCCCCCCTCCTGCCCATGCTGGTGCTGCCCTGGATGGAGTGCTCAGCCTGGTGAGTCTATAGTTCTGCCTTCTGCCTTCTGTGCCTCATGTCTATTTCTGGGACAAGCATCCCAAACTGAGCCCTGGGTCTCCCACCCTATCTCCGAATCCGCTGCTGACCTGTGAGGCCCAGAATGTCAGCACATGTGGTAAACATGAGACTAGGGTTGTATGCGGTGGTTATTTATACTTGGCCTCAACTGGGAGATAAGAACATATGCTAGGGGACAAGCGGCAGGGGTGGGCAGGTCAGACACAGAAATGTGTTGTGAGCACACGTGGCGTGCAAAGCAGGAAGGATGGCTTATAGAAGCTAGGATCCCTTGGGTGTGGGGCAAAACCGGGTTGGTATGAGGGGGCTGTGTAGACCTCAGCACCTAGATAGGGGTCTGCTACCCTGCCATGGAGGAGGTAGGTGACACTTCCCACATGTTCTTGCACTTGTAAAACATAATCAACCAAGCAGGGAGGTGGCCCCTGCCCAGGCTGAACATATATATATATATGTATATACATATATCAT